ACAATATATATATAAATATATTAAGTCATATAACAACAGAAAAATTAGCTGAGAATTTCTCTACCTGTTTGTATTATTTTGTTTACTTTTACAGTAGCCTTTTAATTTACATAATTTGTTTAAGTGAACATAAATTACATTTGATCAAGATTTAATCATTAATATTTCTTTCTTTTTGTGTGTGTTTATATCATGATATTAATTTTCAATTTTTGGTAAAATATATATATATATATATATACACACGTCAATATTTTCAAAGAATTAGTGCAAAGACAGTTTTGTTCAACTTATAACTTTGCCTTAATAATCTAATTAGAAGTAAGAACAATCAATTAAAAAGAATATTATTAACATACAATATATGGATCACATTGATCTTGAGGTCAGCCGGTGAGGGTACAACAGAATAGTCTGTCACTTCTCCACACAATAATATAAGGAAATTGGAGAATTGTAATAGGGAAGATGGCAGTGGCACTGGGAGCGGCGAGGAACTCACAAATCTCCATCGATTTACACCGGAGAATTCTCGGATCGTCACTGGACACCTTCATCTGGCCAGAGAGAAGACTTGGAACTCCTTCCTTGTGCATCCACGAGACCAAGTAGCAGGGCCCCATGAACGACAGAGACCCCAGCCCCGGCTGCAGCAGAAGAGCTGACAGACCGCTCATGGTATAGGAGAACATTTGTCAGCTGCTTTGCTGTGGCCGCACACAGCAGGTTTTGTCGTCTAAATAATGAACTAGTAGAGGCGATGGATGGAAGAAGAGAGGAACCGGAAACTGCTGGTTTGAAATTCGACCTCAATCAGCTTCCGTCGGAAGCCTATGGGTCACAAGCAACAGTAGAATTGCTGCACCTTCTAGGCTTAACTTAAAGTATGTATTCATAAATGTGTAATAGTTTGTTAATTTTCATTTAGAAGGCATTCTTCAACAAATATAATATTTTTTTACATCAACTAACTAAATAACTAGGTGTCCAATTGGTTTTTTTTTCTTTTGTAAAAATATGTATACTTTTACAATTTAAAATTACAGGGCATTTTAAAACCGTTTTTCATTTCTTTCAATATAAATCAAGTAAAAAAAGTCATCTATATCTCATTGACTCTAAATTATTATTTTAATCCAAGACTAAAAATAAAAATATATAACATTAAAGACACTAAATGTTGGTCCAATTCTTTTATTATATAAAAAATAATTTTCAATTGAGAAAATTAGAGTTTCACTCGACAGAGAATTAACTCTCGCAAAACTTGTGCAATATAAATGAGATATTGATTTGACTAGGTTTTGTCCTTGACAACAAACATTTAAAAAATGACAATATCCATTTAACATATTTTTTTTAAAAAAAAAAATGATAATAGTACTTCATTGACTCAATAGGACTTTGTCCCATTAAAAAATAAAAATAATTATTTATTGATCAAATTTAGCAAGAAACGACAATAATTATCGTTTAATACCGAATTCAAAGAAAGAAACGACAATAATAATTTATTGATAAAATCCAACAAGAAATCATATTGCATACATTTTATCTTTGAATTTAACTGTTATTTAAAAATAATAAATAGAACTTACCACTATGTCCACTTAATTGAGAAGAATATTGAAAGGAAGAAGCCAAAACCTATTATTAAAAAAAGGGAACATGGATAAATTAAATCTTCACAAAATATTTAGTATGAAATTACATAAAATTCGAAGTATCAATATTTGAAGTACTATTTAAGCTACAATCCAAAAATGATTTGTATGATGCAAGGAAGTATGTACCTCTTGCTAAGTAGGCAAAGTTGTTGCAATTGCATCGAAAAATAAAAATACATGTTGCATATTGCATGCATTATCATTGAAACAGTAAAAGCAATCTAAATCTTAAGTAGACCTCAGAGATAATTAAAATTAGGGAAAAGTAATATAACTAGTGAAAACACATTTCAACAACAAGCGTGCAAACAGAAAGTCATATATATAAACGGGTTAAATTACTCTACCCACAATGTATTGTGTCTCTCGTATACTGTTCAATCACTATCCGCCATATGTATTTAAATTTTTTATTTTATTAATTTTTTGTTTTAAAAATATAAATGGCGAATGGCGATTGATGGGTATAGAAATGGCACAATACATTGGGGTAGGATAACTAAACCTTACATAAACACACAAGTATACATGAGCACACACACAAAAATAACAATCCGGCGACATAATCAATTTAATTATTTTTTCTATTTTTAAATAATTGTAAAAAAATATATTTTTGTTGAAATATAAATATATGTATCATATAATTTGACCAAATAAGTGAAAATAATATGAATATGACCTAAACATGAGTATATCAAAACACTCTCGTCAATATGGCCTAGAATATGACTATATCAAGAACAAGGCTGTGAACATGGACGAAAACATAATTGTGTTGAGAATAGGATCATGAACATGAGTATGAACACGGACAAAAACATGATCATATTCAGAACATGACTGTGAATAGGGGCGGGGCATGAACATGGTGCAGGGTAATGAATACGGCCATCTTGAGTGTCTGGGTTGCCCAATCATCTTTTTGGTTTGTCCAACACGGCTTGATAAATTTTACTTTGAATTGTACCAAAATTGATAATAAAAAAAATAAAAAATCAATGAGAACAAATTATAACTATTGTATTATCCTCAAATTATGAATTCTATTAACTAATTAGGTGAGTAGGTTAAGCATTAAAATAAATTGTTTTATCCTATTCATTATTTATAAGGTGGTTAAAAACTTTATAACATATTAGTTGTGCAACTTTTCTGAAAATATATATATATTTATATTCAGGGTAAACTGTTTTTTTAGTCCGTAACTAAACCTCTTATCATTTTAGTCTCGTAAGTAGAGCCTATCGCAAACTAGTCCCATAAGTGAAGAATTTTCGCTGTTTTAGTCCTCCGACGCCGGAAATGCTCGGGTGGCTCGCCGGAGGTGACGTGTCCGCCAGGTGTCGCTGACCTGGCGGACACGTGGATTTTTATTTTTTTTAAAAATTTATTTTAAATTTTATTTGTATTTTATTTTATTTTTTTATTTGTTACAATTAAAAAAAATTAAAAAAATTAAAAAAATGAAAAAAAATAAATAAATCCACGTGTCCGCCAGGTGTCGCTGACCTGGCGGGACACCTGGCAGACACGTCACCTCCGGCGAGCCACGCGTGCGTCTCCGGCGTCAGAGGACTAAAACAGCGAAAATTTTTCACTTATGGGACTAGTTTGCGACAGGCTCCACTTACAGGACTAAAATAATAAAGGGGTCCAGTTACGGGACTAAAAAAACAGTTTACCCTTATATTTATATTAAGTTATATAACAATAAAAATTCACTAAGTATTTATCTACCCTTTTAATTTATATAGTTTGTTCAAGTGAACAAAACATTACATTTCATCAAGATTTATTCATTAAAAAGAATATTATTAACATACTATACATGGATAATATTGATCTTGAGTTGAGATTACGACCCATCGATGAGGGTACAATAGAACAGTCTGGCACCAAAAAAGCACAACACAACTTTCTAGAGAAGGGTAAAGAATTAGTGGTACAAGGAAGTGGCAGCGGCACTGAGAGTGGCGGGGAACTCACCGAACCCCATTGATCTGTGCCAGATAATTCCCGGATTGAGGTAGATACTACTTTTAGGTTGGGTCGTCACGGGGCACCTTTATTTGGCCTAGAAAGAATGACTTGGAATTTCTTCCTTATGCATTCACGAGAGCAAGTAGCAGGCCCCCATGAATGACAGAGACCTCAGCCACGACAACAGCGGGAAGAACTGACAGACTGTCAATGGTGTAGGAGAACATTTGTCAACCGCTTTGCTATGGTCGCACAAAACAGGTTTTGTCCCCTAAAGAATTAATACTTAGAGGCGATGGCTGGAAGAACGGAGGAACCGGAAAGTGTCTATCTGAATTTCGATCTCAATCAGCTTCCGCCGGAAGCCTATGGATCATAGGCAACCGTAGAATTGTTGCACCTTCTAGGCTTAGCTTAAATTATGCATTTATAAATCTTAAATAGTTTGTCAATTTTCAATTAATTGAATAGACAGATTTTTAAACTTTATTTATTTTAAAGGCTTTCTTAAACAAATATAATATTTTTTAGGTCAAGTAACAAAATAGCTATGTATCCATTTATATGTTTTTTTAGTTGTTTTATTTTATTTTTTTCTTTTGGTAATAATATATTTACTTCTACAATTTAAAAGTGTAGTGCATTTTAAAATGGATTTTCATTTATATCAATATAATTGAAAGAACAAAAAAAAAAATTCATCTACCTCTCATTGCAAAGTTGTTAAAATTGGATCCAAAAATAAAAAACTTTGTTGCATATTGCATGCATTATCATTGAAATTGTAAAAGCAATCTACATCATATGTTGAATGCTAAATTATTAGGTTTAACATATTTTTAATAATATTAAATATTTTAAAAAAATTAATCAGAAATAATTTAATAATTTTTTCAAAAATTTGTATAACAAATTATAAAAATAATAAAATATTTAGGACAAATAAAACAATTGACAAAAAATCGAAACCAAAATAGAATGATATGGATGAGAAAGTTAAAGAAGACCAACAACATAAAAAAACATCGGTTAATTGGTTTTAACTTAATTAATTTTTATTTTTTTTTAGTCTTGATTATAATTTTTGTCTGTTTTAAAACAATAGTTTTATTTTTATAAATAATCATATATTTATTTTTTTTTATTATTATTACACAATTATTACTACTTTTTATAATAATATATTCATAAAAATAAAAAAAATCATTTATTTATATTTTTTGCTCACTGTCAATATAATATAAATATAATATACAGAGGAAGAGGAACGGAGTGAGTAATATTATTAATTACATGAATCGAAAACCCTAATCCCACAAACGCCCTATACACAGCCGTCGCTCCCCCGCCCCCCCTCCCTCAATGGCATCCAAAACAAAAATATGTAACCCTAAATCTATTATCTATATATATCCTTAGCCCTCCGTAATATCCCCTCCAAGACCTGCTCGTACCATTTCGTTTTCCGCCGCCGGCCCGCGTCTGCTCCCAAGCTAGATTCCGCCGGCGATGGCGTTCGAGTGAGTGTTCGTGTTTGTGTTTCCTGTGGCTGTTGGTGCTTCGTCTGTGCTTCTTGTCGCCGTCGATAACCGCCAATATGGATAAGGCTCTAAGCCGGTATTGATTGGCTGTTTCCTCTTCTCCTTTATCGTGTTTGTTAGTTTGGTTATCGTGTTAACTCATCCCTGCCCAGCTTCGTTTCTATCTGTTTTGTTCGTCGTGTCTGTGCTCTGTATCAATTTGGTATTTAATTGTGTTCTGGCCTTCTCTGTAATTAATTTGTCTCATCTGCTCGGGTGTATGGCGGTATTCCAACCATGGCTGAATCCCTTGGATGAACCTCGTCTGAGCTATGCTGAAATCATAGCTTCTCCATCACGCCCGCTAGGTGTTCGTGAAAATGCCACAACTAAGTCCTTCCCGTCGATTGAGCTGAAATCTCATTTCGGTTCCGTTTCTAAGGTTGGCGATTATCTGTGAGCACACCTCAGAATTCAAATTCACTATCGTTGGGAAGTTATGTATGTGAGGCCCCCTAGAGTAGCCGCATGAAGTGCTTTATGCCAGTTTCGTCACCGGCTTAGTTTGGGGGGCAATAGTAATACTTCAGGTCTCTCTTTTCCTTAGATTGGGATCTGAAAGCTGAGGCTTTTTGAGTGGGCGGATTTGCATTCTGTCGTCCGTCCGCCAAGCAGCCTTAACACATTCAACTGAGCAGCTTGTTTGCTTCGGTTTTGTCGTTCTAGTTGTGTTTTGAGCGTTTTCTGAGGCCCTTGAATAGCTGAACGCGCTTTCCCTCGGGGTGCCGTTCTGCTCAGACGGGGCCACATAACAAACTGAATCTATTTGAGGGTGAGGAACGCCATCTTTGATGCAATGTTCCTTTCTTAGTTTGATTCATATAAAACGTTCTTTATAATTGAGTTATGGGGTTGTGCAAATTAGACTTGCTGGTTAAGCGGTGCCTTTGATTTACAATGATAAGGCACTTCATGAGACCAGCTATATTTATGTTTTCACTGTCGATCATCTGACCAGGTGGGGTGTTTTTTTCGTTACAGCCCTCACTTCTGTCTCGATCCGACACACTTTCTTCTTTTGAGTTTATTATGCTTTATGTTAGCAGATTTGTTGAAATTCATGGATGATGAAGTTTTAGACAATATGGTCTGAAATGCTTTTATCATATAACAACCATTGTGGCTTACATAGTCATGAAGTCACCTTATGATTTTCTTAACTTGTAGATTATGATGTTTTATTTGGCCTTCTCATGCTATTTTATTTTACTTTTTGGTGAGAAAATTATGTTAACGCTGCCATCATTGTTGTATTGGGCAAATGATGATCACTATGAAATTGAGCTTATTATTCCGTGAAGCTTCATAATTCGAGCTTTTTAAAGCTGATGCCCTTCATGTTTTTTATATTTATGTCTGTTTGAAACGTTGGTGCTATTTACATGGCTTTTATTTTATTTTTTTAATATTTACATATAGTATCTGCCATGCGCATCAATTGATAGCTCTTTCAACCTGACGAGACAAACAGTCCAGAGGCTTGTTGTCCTTGCACACGTCTCTTGTGTAAGTCAGGGATATCAGTGTCATTATTTTTGGGTGAGCCTCTTGTGCTTCTTCTTCACCAGAGGTTCAGTAAATGATGCTACATTCTTTTAGGGTCTGAAATGCTTTAATCATATAACATCCACTGTGGCTTAGATAGTCATGAAGTCACCTTATGATGTTGATTACTTGTAGATTAGGATGTTTTATTCAGCCTTCTCATGCTATTTTATTTTACTTTTTTGGTGAGGAAATTATGTTTACGCTGCCATCATTGTTGTATCGGGCAAATGATGATCACTATGAAATTGAGCTTATTATTCTGTGATGCTTCAAAATTTGAGCTTTTTAAAGCTGATGCCCTTCATGTTTTTATATTTCTGTCTGTTGCTTTTATATTTCTTTTTAATATTTTCATATAGTATTTGCCATGCACATCAATTGATAAATATATGGAATAATATAAGGATTAATATGTATATTTTAAGGAAATACATTTTTTGTTTTTTAAAAAAATGACTGTGTATATTTAACTCAACATATATCATAATTATATTATTTTAAAATTTATATAAGTTCACTTGTTAATATAGAAATCAACATCCAACATGTTAGAGATAACACAGTTTTTCCATAATAATATGAATAATTCAGAGATTTATTTTATTGTTTTTCATATAAGTTGTCATTTAATAAATTTGTTATTTTATTATGCATTGATGTATTGTAATATGTTCTTTAGTATTTATTTTTAATAATACTGCTGTCGAGAAATCATTCATTATTCCATTTAAATTTATTCAATACTAAGAGTGAATATTCAATTTTTGGCCAGGGTTTAGGGTTTAGGGAGCGCCCGGTCCCTGCTCGTGCAGCGACGATGGTGCGTTCCATCCTCGCCCCCTCGTGCGATCAGCTCAGGTCAACGATTGGCCTGAGCGTGTCTGTCTCTCAGGGTTCAGGATTCAGGGTTAGAATTAATTGGTCAAGCCCAGCGGTGAGGGGCTGGGGACCGCCCGAGCAATAGTCTGGGCTTCACTGTTACTGTGCATCCTAAAACCCTAGAACAAAAGAAAAATAGTTCTATCTATGTTGTCACCGCTGGAACAACCAGCAGCCAACGTTCTCCCCTCCCCTCCTATCTCATCTTCCTCCTCTCTGTCCGGGTTTAGATTTCATGCACTCCTGTAATTTGACATATGGTTCTAACGAATTTATGTATGTGAAGCCCCCTAGAGTAGCCGCATGAAGTGCTTTATGCCAGTTTCGTCACCGGCTTAGTTTGGGGGGCGATAGTAATACTTCAGATCTCTTTTTTTCTTTGGATTGGGACCTGAAAGCTGAGGCCATTTGAGCGTGCGGACTGTAGTCCGTGTCCGTCTGCCAAGCAGCCTTAACACACTCAACTGAGCAGCTTGTTTGCTTCGTTTTTGTTGTTGTAGTTGTGATTTGAGCGTTTGCTGAGGCCCTTGAATAGCTTAACGTGCTTTCCCTAGGGTTGTCGTTCAGCTCAGATGGGGCCGCATAACAAACTGAATCTATTTGAGGGTGAGGGACGCCATCTTTGATGCAATGTTTCTTTCTTAGTTTGATTCATATAAAACATTCTTTATAATTGAGTTATGGGGTGGTGCAAGTTAGACTTGCTAGTTAAGCTGTTCCTTTGATTTACAATGATAAGACACTTAATCAGACCAACTATATTGGTGTTTTCACTGTCGATAATCTGACCAGGTGGGGTGTTCTTTTGTTACAGCCCACACTTCTGTATCGATCCGACACTTTCTTTTCTTGAGTTTATTATGCTTTATGTAAGCAGATTTGTTGAAATTCATGTATGATGAAGTTTTAGACAATATGGTCTGAAATGCTTTTATCATATAGTCATGAAGTCACCTTATGATTTTGATTACTTGTAGCTTAGGATGTTTAATTCGGCTTTCTCATGCTATTTTATTTTATGTTTTTGTGAGGAAATTTTGTTTATGCTGCGATCATTGTTGTGTCGGGCAAATGATGATCACTATGAAATTGAGCTTATTATTCCGTGAAGCTTCAAAATTCGAGCTTTTTAAAGCTGATGCCCTTCATGTTTTTTATATTTATGTCTGTTTGAAACGTTGGTGCTATTTACATGGCTTTTATTTTATTTTTTTAATATTTACATAGTATCTGCCATGCACATCAATTGATAGCTCTTTCAACCTGACGAGACAAACAGTCCAGAGGCTTGTTGTCTGTGCACACACTCTTGTGTAAGTCGGGGATATCAGTGTCATTATTTTTGGGTGAGCCTCTTGTTCTTCTTCATCGCCAGAGGTTCAGTAAATGATGCTACATTCTTTTAGGATGTGTTTGTTTTGGGGTTTGGATTTTGAGTTGGGATTTGAATAGTAAAAATGTTGAATTGACATAGTTGTATGATGTGATATAAATAGGTGTTGATATGATATTTTGAATGTAAAATTGATTTTTAGTATAATATAACAAATAAAAGATAAATGTTTTATTTGATATTTTTTTAGAGAAAAAATTGGATGAACAGTAGATTTTGGTTAAAATTCTCCGACCACACCCTTAACAAATTCATGGTCATTGGATTTACACCCCACCGATCAGTTGTCACTGCCAATCTCTTCGTATTGTAACTATTCAATGATAATGATGCTGGAAACTCTAAATCCTAAACCCCCTCAAACAAGTTGAATTCAAAATCTTAAAATAGATTTTTTTTTTTTTTATTTTGAGTTTTTATTTGTCGTTTTTTAAATAAATTTTTAAATGAATGTGTTGATAAATTATTTAGTTATTTATTTTGTTGTAAAAGATTAAAAATAATTGTGTGTCAGCTTTGAACGAAAAAAGTATTTTGTGTATATTTTAATTTAATACGAAGGATATTGGATATTTTGGACCATCTCCAATGAGGAGGGTTTTTCCCTATCTTTAAAGGGTGTGGAGAAAAAACTGCTCCAACCCACTCTATTAAAGGAGAAGAGTGAATTATATATTTGAAGAGTTTTGCTGTTGAAACTATTTAGTGATTCCATTATCCATGAACGTGAATATTTGTTTTCCTACATGCCCTCTGATAGAGATGATGAGGATCCCACATTTTGCAAGAGCCTAATGAGGAACACTTTGTTTTATCCTAGGCCACCTGTTCATTCAGGATAATATATGTATATATATATATAAATATCAATCAATATTTTTTGATTTAATTGGTTGGTAATCATGCTACACTGCCTGTTGACTACTGTCGGAATAGTTGTCCTTTATAAGTCTTAAGCATATTTAGATGTGTTGTGATTGCATACTATAAATGCTTTTTTTTTTTTTTTTTGTCAAATATCATAGTACGTGTGATCATTTTTTTGGGTACAATTTCCAGCCGGAATGTCTGGTTTTGGATGACTTCTATCTTTGGTTCATTCGTCTGGCGAAAATTATAGAATATACGTGAAAGATCTTGGAGGCGGGGTGAAGTTAAAGTAGCTGTCTCTGGTGTTCTTGGTCAGTTGCAAAATACCTTCTTTATGTTGTTTAAATGTTGTAGGATGCAATGAATTTACCAATTTGAGCATAGAAATACCAAGACACCAAATATCTTCTGGAAGCATTGATTTATTTTTTATTAAGGATGTTCAATTGCAGCATGTATAATAGACCAAAGCATTAGTGTTTCACTCCATGACAAGTTAATCTTTATTCAGCCCTTTTATATCTTTTGCAGATCAAAGCAAAATAGATAGACATTGGTCCCCATTGACCTAAAAAAGGACTCAATTTCGGAAGTTTCATGCTAACTGCAGCATCTGCGGCATCAACTGAAGTGCTGCATGATGCCCATATCGCTCCCGCGGGAGACCATTGCCGATCTTTTATTAAAGGTGCTAAATATTCTTTTTTCTACTTAAAAAGGAGTCCATTTTATTTGAGAATGTAACCGCTGCAATATAATATGTCTCGATCAATCTGGAACAAAATGAACATGTACCATTGTTTGTGTATTTATCATTTGCAGGGAGCTCCTCCTTTGAGCCTGTAATAACCACCAAGTGCTCTTCTACTCGTAGAACTTTTGGCGCCAGGCGATCGACAAGTTTATTTTCCCTACCAGCTGTGGAAATGCACATGTTTTAGGTGTCGAAATCCTTGCTGAGATTGAAAATGAAAAGGTTGAGTTGTAAATTAGGATGCACGTTGATTCATTAATGAAGAAGAATTTTTATGGAATCAGGTGAATTGAATGCTTTAGCCCTAAATTGGGAGAAGATAAAGAATCTTTATGGATCCATTAGTGCTTCATTGAAGATTGTTTATTTTATTTTATTTTTTTTTGGGATGATTAGGGAACTTGTAGATCCGAAAGTGCGTACTGGGTAAACTTCGGCTGAACTTGATACTAGGCGAATCATATGTGGCAGGTGAATTTATAGGCGAAGACATGACTTCACAATTACAAGTTCACTTCCCACACGATCGGCTCATTCTATTATGGGACCATTGAAGATTGTTTATTGCTTTTATAAGTGATGTACTAAAATTGTGTTGGATTTCTTGCCTTGGGGCCACGGTGGCTTTACTGAATGGGTACTATTCATGCACGCACATGTGTTCTAGTTGAGCTTATGTAATAAATATTGCACACACACCTAGTAATAGACACTGTTTAGTAGCTATTTTTTTTTTTTTTTAGCTATTTTTCAACTAACTCGTACTTTGTTATTTGAGAGAGAATTTGATTTTCGTTCAAACTTCAAGTGTTGGCCTGTTGCATTTGTGAAGTGGGCCTCACTCAAATCATTGGGCCCATCATTAATAATATATTATATTATATAAAAAAATAATTATATAATTATATATTACATGTAACTAATATTTATTTTATAGCAATAACAAATTAATTTTTTTATTTTTTTATTATATATAATTTTACTTTTTACTAAATAATATGCATATTGATTCTATTTATACTAATATATTTATAAAATCAGATTCAATATATTTTTTTTTTATCAAATATATTAAATCAATATTTTATTTCAACATCATCAATTATACTCTTATTATACTAAAATATTACAATTAAAAAAATTATTCAAAATATCTTCGAATTTTCTATCTAAAACACATTTTAATTCAAATATAATTTTTTTCAATTCAAGATCATCATTAACATACTATGCCGCATAATTTGTTCAAGTGTATAACAATTACATTTGCGCTAAAAAAAATATTATTAACAAACTATACATGGATCTCATTAATTTTGAATTGAGATTGCGAGCCGACGAAGGTGGAACAAAACAACTTGATTATTCTTTGCACAAAAAAAAACATGAAATTGGAGAATTTTGATAAGGAAGATGTAAAGGGTCCGAAGGAGAATTCGATGAATTGCATGACGCCAAAAAAACTCCACCAAACTTTCTAGATAAGGGGAAGGTAGCGGTACAAAGAGGTGGCAACAACATCGAGAGTGACAAGGAACTCACTGAGTCAAATCGATCTGCACTAAGTTTTGTTGTCAATAGGCACCTTCATCTGGCCAAGAGAGAATGACTTGGAGCTCTTTTCTTGTGCATCTTCGAGACCAAGTAGTGGGCCAATATGAACAACACAGACCACAACCACAACAACACCGGAAAGAGCTGATAGACTGTCCATGGTGTAGGATAAGGACATTTGTCAACCACTTTGTTGTGGCTTCACACAACATATTTTTTCGTCTAAAAAATGAACAATTAGAGGTAATGGTTGGAAGAAGGGACAAAGTGGAAACTACTGGTCTGAATTTCGACCTCAATCAGCTGCATCCAAAAACCTATGGGTCACAAACAAACGTAGAGTTGTTGCGATTAACTTAAAGTACTTATTTGTAAATTTTTAATAGTTTGTCAATTTTGTCAATTGATTAAATAGATATATTTCTCAATTTTATTTATTATAAATAATTTATTTAAGAAATGCAATATTTATTAGGTCAACAAACTAAATAACTATATGTCCATTTGCATGTAATTTTTTTGTAATATGTATAATTTTACAATGTAAGTGTGTTGTGCATTTTGGAGACGAAACACATTGTTATAATTATTTTATGAAAACTGAAAAGTGCATTATTATTCATAAAAAAGATAGAAGTCTATAAATAGGCATGTCATACCGATTGTATCAGAATCTGAAAGAATGTTCTAAATTTAATTAGAGGCGAAAATAACGAAACTCTCACTGAAGTCAGAAAGAATAGGACTCTCAATGCAGTCAGAAATATTGAGACTCTCGCTGGATTTGGAAACAACGAGACTTTCAACGTAGAAGGAAACATGACTATGAAGAAACGTGCCAAACATATCAGAAGCCTCAACTAGAACAAAATCCGGAGGTGGAAATGAAGTCGTAGAGCAGTTGTAGACAAAATCAAAACTAAAAATAGAATCAAAATCAGAAAATGAAAGACTAGAAACTTTAGCCAAAGTCTCAAAATTGGGAAACATCCGTGTACATTTTAGGTTGAATGTACCCGGAGAAAGGTGAGTTAGTAGGTTGTATTTACTCATGAAAAAAATAGGCTCCGACACTGTATTAAAATTATTTTATGAAAATTGAAAATGCATTATTATTCACAACGAAGATAGAGACCTATAAATAAACATGTCATACCCACTACTCAAATCATAACAATTGAACTTAACACATAAAATCAAATTTAAAACAACTAAATCAAATCTAAAACTAAATAACTAATATATCTCAACACATATAATTACATATACGTACATGGCCAAAAGTGGTTATTAAAAAATTACAAAAGATTAAACCATAGATGAAATTAAGCTAAGAGAAATTATTAAATTATAATAAAATGATTTATTTACACATAAAAGTTAAAAACAAGCTAAACTATTTAAAAACCATTAAATATATGTCTTAATATATTTGAAATTTAAAAATAATAAAATAAAATTAAAATTTAGTTCTCAATATTAAAGCACTTATAGCTAATAATATACATGATAACTTCAAGATTTAATGAAAACTTAAAGAGATTTTTCATTTATTTCAATATTATTCAAGTAACGAAAAAATTTCAGCAACTTTCACTGTGATGTACATGATTATTTTAATCTACGACTAAAATTAAAAATAACATAACATTGAAAATAAAAACTATTTTTTCAATTCTTTTATTACAATAATAATAATAATAATAATTATAATAAATAAATAAATTGAGAAAATAAAAGTTCGAATCAATAAACAAATAACTTTTGAAAAACTTGTGCAATATATAAATGATACTCTCTCTATCCCAATACAATAGTCTCATTTCCATAAATAATCATATCACTATAAAATTACATTTGTTTTTTCATTATTATTACACTATTGCCACTACTTTTTATACTAATACACTCAGAATGACAAAAAAGTCTTTTACCCGTACTTTTTATCCACTACCAATATAATATTAATATTTTTTAAATTTTGTGTCGAACACAATCCAATTGTGGGACGGACGTAGTATATTAATTTGATTAGGTTTCCTTGGCAACAAACAACAAGAAAGCCACAATATCTATTTTATTCAAAGAAAACAAAAAAGAAAAAAATAGCACTTTGTCCCATTAAAAACGAAAATTATTATTTATTAATCAAGCTTAGCAACAACAATTTTCCTTTAATCAAATCTGTTTACTTGAGATTATTATTATTATTATTATTGTTGTTGTATTCTTTTTATTATTTTTCCTTTTTTATATGTTAATGGCAAAAGAATTATTGAATATGATTTTTTGAGTAAAAATTGAATATCTATATAAAGATGTTAAAAAAAATTTGAAAAACTAAATATTATAATTATTAAAATTAAAATAATAACGACTCAAATAAACGAACACATTTAATATATAGTTTCGGTTTTCTTTAAAAAAAACCTTATATATTATATATATATATAATAAACTTTTTTTTAGAGAAATTCGATGTCTAACTCATCGAGTCCCTCAATAATAAATAATTAATTGGCCTACTCCGGCTCACTGGATCGGTCCAATCCTCTTTTAGCCAAACCCAATACTTTATCACAAGCCCAAACTATTATACTTAAACCCAATCCTAATTGATAGCCTGTTAGAAGAGTTAGTTTTGGGGTTAAGAAAGGTTAGTTTTAGAAGGGCTTTTGGTGAGTCTGTTTTCATTAGAGAGATACACCAAAATCATAGAGAGATTGAGCGGGTGAGAAGAGAGGGAGAGAAGCCGGCGAGTTTCTCCTACGAGTATTCGGTGAGGTTCGGGATTCTCTTTCTTGTGCCGATTCTGGTTGGTGTCGAGGTTTAGAATGACGCGCCGACCTCCACCTTGACGCGTGGTTACCTCGAGCCATTCTCGCACCTTGGGTCTGAGCCTTTCGTCGATGTTCTTCTCGGTGGTGAAAGATCGAAGAATGATCAAAGAAAGAATCGAGAACCCCGGTTCTGTTCGGTGCCAGCGGAGTTGCACTGCTGTTCTGCGGAGAGTCGATTCTGTTCTTGTTCGGAGAAAATGTCGCAGAGAGAGCTGCTGTCCGATGAGAGGAAGAAGGGATCGCTGCCGCTATTCGACGGAGGAGTCGTCGCCGGAGTTCTCCCGCAGTCCGCGGGTCTGTCTCGGTGAAGATCAAGCCGCCGTCATTGTCCCGCCGCTCGGAGTTGCCGGAGCGCCGCCAATTGGATCTGTCTGGAGTCGCTGTCCAGCCACGCCGTGCCGTGCCGGAGGATCGCTGTTCGTCGACCGCCGGAGGATGTCCGCCGTTAGCTTCTGCCAGCCGTCCGACGAGATTAGTCGGAAAAGGGATTGTTATCGTCGTTGTCGATCGAGTTTGAATCTCGGTTGAATCTGGATTTCAACGAATATGGAAGAATCTGATTAGATTCTTAATTTCCTTTAATTGGTTTAAGGCCTATTTGTTAGTAATGTGATGTCCAGTTTTCAATTTAGCTTTTGTAGTTTAATTTCAATTTCATTTCGATTTCCGTACTATAATGATTTGGATTTATTCGATTTAATTTGTTTTCTCTAATTCATTGTTGCATTTTTTATACAAAATTTATTCGGTAAATCCAAAAAATCTGAAATACAAATTAGCAACAACCTTATAGCAATACTCCGTAGTCTCCGCGAGCTTAGCATTCTTATATTAAGATTTTATCTTGCTATTTTAAATAATAAAAATAGAAAATTGTAAAAAAAAAATGTTATATATGTATATCTCATTATCATTTTTTTTCTCAATAAAGGACAAAAAGTCATTCCGCGGCTTTAAAATTGTCCTCGGTTACTAGAAAAAGGCACGTGAGTGGACATGACTTCACCCGCACTTGCATAAAACTTGCGAGAGTCGATATGGTAGATGACGTGGTCTCGCCTTTGGCTATTGGTGTAAAAATTCATAATCTAGGACAATATGTCAACTAAGAGTCTTATTTTTATCCTTCGGCATCTGAAACGTGACAAGCACGTCTGCCTACGTGGCCTCCTGCTACAAATGTGGACTGTCGGCGGCGTGATATAGAAATTCATTTTTTTAAATATGAATTTCCATGTCATGATAATGAGACCTAAATATAAGATATTTTTTGAAATTTTTCCTAAAAAATATTATAATATGTTTTACAACCCGAGAATGCAATCAATAAAATTGCGTCCTATATATTA